AACATTTAGTTTCCAAAACCAAAGATATTTCCAAAAATGCAAAACTGTCCAAACCAGGATTTCTACCGCCACTAAAATATATCCTAAATTTCCCCATATTTCACTCTTTCTTTAAGAAATGTCGCTTATTTCGGAGCTGCCAAAAGCAACCACTCGTTGGTAAAACCGCTGACGACCAGTCCCTTCAAAGACTGCTCAGAAGCAAACAGTTCATTAGTAAGTTCTGGAGCCAATTTACCATCGAAACGAATCGCAGATGCAACCATCTTAGTTGACTCAATAGCGAAGCCGAACCCTCAATCTCTAGCACAAGGAATTACTCTACGTACCAAGGGGTTATGTCTTCCGCCACCAAAATATGGAACTTATACAGAGTTATAAAAAACTACGGGAAAAGAAAACATGTACAAAACTTGCAATTTCGGTAAAAGTTAAAATTTTTCGAATATTACAACAGGGCTGTTTTAATCCACTGTATCATGGATGCATTATCCAGCAACAGCTGATCCATCCTTTCCCAGCTGCTCCTTAATTCATTTCTCAATTCATCGAGCGTCTTCTCCAGATCCTCCGCTTCAGCATCACTAGTCCACAGCTTATTTCGATGTATTCTTAGGAAAGCCGCTAAATATGATTGCACGAGCTCAAAATCGCGATGACTCCTCAAAACGACCAAAAGCATTTTCAGGAAGCTGGTCAAAGCCTGAAAATTTTTCATGGTTTGGTTAAAATAAAACTGGTCAGGAAAATAACAGCAATACACATTTAACTTCACATATCTAGCAAAACGTCAGACAACCGATGGACGAAGCGGATAACGGAGTGGTACCCACGCGCGATGAAACGAACACTGGGGAGGCCCTCAGCACAATGGCGAGATCCAATCGTGTGCCTTTATGGTGTCACCTGGTCTCGTCAGGCTCAGGATCGATCGAAATGGAGAAGTTGCCAACTGATCGATGGAGTGACACCAGAGATCGGTGAAACAACAGCTGTTCAAGGTATTCAAGGTATCTAGCAAAACAACAGATGGGCGAAACGCGTTGTCAACTGGTACCCACGACGTGTAAAAAGGCCAGTAGGGAAGCCACCGATGCGCTGATCCGATCCGCTAACTCGATTATATGGAATATTGTGGATGAAGCGAGCTCAGGAGAGGACTCGTCGGTGTGACTGTCGGCTTAGTCACTGAAGAAAATCAACAATGCGTCAGTGACGGAAACGCCGTACCAAGGTATCTGGTAAAAATGCTGCACAAAATATAAGAGTCAAAAAACGCACAGATTGTTAAAAATGCCCCCAAACCGCAAGATTTTAGATCCTGACCATCCCAGCATCACTGTATTCCGTACCCCAGAGCCCATGAAAATCCTTGTACAAATGATATGTAACTCTTTTTAACAGGTTATGGCCTAAACGGACAAGCATAAGAACGCATGAATTGAAACAGAAAGTTATAATAAGAAGGAATGAAATAAAGAAAAGAAAGAAAAAAAAGGTAAGAAATGAAAATTAGAAAAATTTATGAGATTATTATAATGTTAATTTAAGGTTAACTGAAAATGTAGAAATAGATGATGGAAAAGGTCCAAAATGAATAATAAAGAGTAAAAAAGGGGAAGATGTAAAAAGAAGTAATAAATCAGGTATGAAATGTTTCGGTCCATTAAGTCGTTAAGAATTGTTTCAGCCCATTAATTCGTATACATTTCTTACCATTACCACTACTGGAATCAAAGTTAAAACACGCAATAAAGCACTGTTGAGAAACAAAGAAAGCCATAAGAACTAACACACCGGTCATCCCCTTGTTACTGCTGACCATAACAACTACGGAAAGACTGGTAGATGCTCTGACAGTTCAAACTGCGCTATGACAAAACCACAACGAATTGGAATATCAAAGTATTCCTGACAAACAGACTTACCCTTTGAGGTAAAATGCGAATTTGAAAATCAATCGATGAAATACTCATCCATTTCAGTGATTCAAATGCTGTAATGAAGTCCGTCTCGTCTGCCGCTCTGAAAAAAGACGCTAATCAGTGCTAATTGATTAAAACGATTTTATCATACTCATATAAACGTCTTATCTCGCTCTTATCTCCTTCTCTCATACTGCATATCTATTGCGCCTTTGCCATTTAGGCTTCCCGGGTCAACCTGGTTGCTACAATCTGCTTATCAGAATACAACGAACTGGTTAACTCGAAATAATGGCGTGGTTGGTTGGAGGTCAACCCAAGGCAATTCTCAATAACAGCTAAGCGAGAGAATTTACAACCTCGGCGTAGTAAAATTACTACCATAAAGAGCCATAAAGAGCTGCGCAGTATTAAAGATCACTGATAATTTACGACTGCTGCATTCCCATTTCGCAACTAATTTTGAACATATCCTTTCTTTCATATCCCTTATTTTTCATGGATAATTCTTCACGATACTGGTTGTCAAAAACGTTGTAGCAGGGGGAAATCTTACTGAAGCAATGTTTGTGCCAAGGAAGACTCGATTTCCAGAACACTTCTTTTTGCCATTAGCACATTGCGTTGTTCCGCATCAGCAGCATCGCCTCCTTCGGCTGGCTTTTCAAACTCGAAACCTTC